CAGAAAACTGAACGTGTCACAGCGCATACATTTCTTGGGATACTTTTTCAAGAACACTTAGACTGGTCCTTACACACCAACCACGTTTGTACCAAGATTTCTAGATCCACGGGTATAATCTGCAAATTGCGACAACTCCTCCCTCTGTAGTTGAAAAAACAACTATATTATTCCAATGTTCACTCACATCTCCATTATTGTCTTCTTGTATGAGGGAATACGACTAAACCAAACACTGACAAAATTCACACCTTGCAAAAAAAAAAAAGCTATACGACTAATATCAGGGGTGTCATTCAGGCATCATACCGCGCCTCTCTTTAAGGAACATAAAATACTTACGGTAACCAACGTCATGAAACAAAAATTGGCAATGCTTATTTATAAACAGGTACGAACTGATCGCTCAGGGCTTTATCAGAGGCATCTCCCGAGAGGTCACAGTCACAACCTATACGGCACAGGGTGTATACATATGAGAAACCTCGTACAAAGTACGGCACACAAAAACTATTGTATCAAATTTCGCATTTCCTGAACGAACAACCGATTGTAGCTTCTCTAATTGACAATATAGTCTCATATATCATTTTTAAAAAGAAGATACAGGAACACTTCCTATTTACACAAACGTAATCACCGTCACCATCTTTGTTTCATATTCCCTGAAGTATTTTCTTGTGTAAATCACATTAACGTTCGATTATGTTATCCAAACTGTGTTTCATTTATCGGTCAAACATATTCCTTATTGATGTTTTTGTCTTTTGATTGTTGAAACCTTGTATTCAAATTTAAAGTTTCTTCAGGTATTTTACATGTCTTACATTAGTGTTTGTTTATGTCCTCTACAGTTTGCTTCATTTGTCGGATACGCATATGCTTTATTGATTTCATTGCCTGTGCAAATTTTCGCTCATTTCTGTTTTCCTGTACATGTTTTGCATGTAGAAACTTATTTATGCTTAATTTCTTATTGAATCTTTACTCTACACTGAGCACTGTGTTGTTTTGGTGGGTTTTGGGTTTACAGGGGGCAGGCGCTTTGTCAGGCTTTTATGCCTTTTCGCCGGTCCCCTAGGCAAATTGTACCTTTCTTCTTTTTTTTGCTTTTGCATGAAATAAACTTCTACTTCAACTTCTACATAAATGAAATAGTAGTATATTCATTATCAGCAAAATATTTTAAGGAAATTCCAAAACCACTGTAACAATATTCTTGGTAAGCGCAAAACTGCGCGAAAAAGAAATGCGGGTTTGCGAAACCCGCATTTGCGAAAAAGGAATTCTCCCCGCCGAAGTCGTCACGTCGTAAATTCTAGCGGAGTTACCTTACGTAGGTTCTTGTTGGTAAGGATGAACTTGTTTGACCCCTGGGTGGCCCATAGACGTAACATACCAAACTTCTTGATTGTTTGAAGAGCCAATGCCCCGAAGTAAGACAAATACAGTTTGAAAGTGGTGACCACACGCGCGGATAATTAGGACACAAAATTCTGAAATGGAACACTGACCTCAATTTTCTCTTCTATTAATAAACTTATGGGGCTGAAATGAACGAAATTCGAGTTATCAGCGGACACAGACTAAACCAAGTCAGTGTTTTACTTTGCGTCTCTCTTCGAACTAGGCAAAGTCCAAGGCCAGCCCAACTCGAGCCCTCCTCGTCAAACTAGGGCCTGACCCCAGCCTGAAGCTTCATGCCCAAGCCTTGCCAGGGCCTGCCATGAACCCTACTTTTGTTGTGTGAGCCCGAGCACGTGCAGCGTTCTAATCCCAGTAACGACCCAGCGCTTCATTATCAAATCAGCCAATGGCTGATGCAATGGATGTCACGAGTGACAAGCTTGTTTGGTCATTTTTCGAGAGAAGAAAAAAGCAATGTTCAGCTGAATTGAATAATTTATTGTGAATAAATGGCAGCGTGCTGCGCTACATTATTTGGCTTGCGTGTCTTTGAGCGCCTCGACTACCAATCGGCCCTGTTTTTTGACCATGCTAAAAATTGTTGCAGGGCCCCTAAAGTACATCTGTAAGTACATGTTTTCTGTCGTGTTATACTCAGTCCTACGACAGAGGGATCAATCACGTTTTTTTTTTCTTTTTGCGAAGCTGCTTCAGCTTTCGTAAGGTGTCATATTATTGTGGGTAGTTCTGTGTCAGCGTTGTTTAGATTTTGACACACATGATGACAGAAAGTATAATAAGTAATAATATATATATATATATATATATATATATATATATATATATATATATATATATATATATATATATATATATATATATATATATATATATATGCACGCACCAATGTCGCGAAAATGAATCATATGCAGGAAGAGTTTACACCCAAGTTTGAAGCCAGCTTTGCGAATTGCACTGCAAATAAAAACTGGGTTAAATTTTGTGACATATTAAAGCAAATCGAAGATAGTTGCGTACAAAAAATGGCTATTAGATCAGCCAAAAACGATCCGTGGTTTACTCAGGATGTGAGAAGAAGTCCTAATAAAAAGAAGCGTGCACTTAGGAAGGCGTCTCGAACAAAATCGACTGTAGACTGGGATAACTATAGAAATTAATTAAGAAAAACCGAAGCCATCATTAAAAAAGCCAAACATATATTTTTCAATTGCACACTGCTTAAACTCCTCAAAACTAACCCTAAAAAATTCTGGCAAGTGGTAAACCCTTAAAACACTGATTCTCCGACCTAGCTAGACGGTGAGCATGGTGATTCTCCGTCAGCTGAGGAAAGTGCGGAAATATTCAGCGATCAGTTTGCATCGATATTTTCAAATGAGCTTTCAGTAGATTTCCTCGACTTAACAGAGACCGTCATTCATGATATCTTTCTCCCAATAGAAATCATCGAAAATGGTGTAGCACGTGCCATTGAGCGACTTGAGCACAAGACGAGTCCAGGGACCAATGGCATTAGCTCCAAACTTCTGCAACTAACCGCTCAAAAATCATCGTTCTTATTGAAACTAGTATTTCAGCAGTCAGTGAACACAGGTTGCGTCCCAGATGATTCGAAGTCCGCATTATTTGTACTTATATTCAAATCTGGTTAAAATCATGTGCTAATGATTACCGGCCAATCTCTCTTACTTCTATTGCGTGCAAAATACTCGAGCATATTCTGTTTACGCACATCGTATCTCACCTCAATAAAAATAACTTGCCAATAGATAACCAACATGGCTTCCGCAACAACCGCTCGTGCGAAACTCAGCTGTTCGAATTGGTAACTGACCTTAATGATTCTCTGAATAACTCCCGCTACAATGACGCAATTTTTATAAGATTTCGCTAAAGCGTTTGACCGCGTGCAACACAAAAAGTTGATGACTAAAGCCTGTAATCTACAGCTAGACGCTAAAACAACCCAGTAGATAAGCGGTTTTCTTACTAACAGGGTTCAGTCAGTTAAACCTAACAACGTTATCACTACTCCCAGACCCGTCAAATCTGGGGTACCCCAGGGATCCGTACTAGGCCCTCTGTTGTTTCTAGTATATATTAATGATATCGGATCCAATATTAACTCTTCACTGCGTCTCTTTGCAGACGACTGCGTAATTTATAAGGAAATCACCGAACCAAACGACGTAAACATCTTGCAGTCCAACTTGACAAAACTATCAATATGGTGCCGCTTATGGCAAATGGAAATAAATGCAAACAAAACCAAACACGTACGCGTGTCATCCGTTGCACATCCTTCGCCCAATGAGTATGTCAAAAACAACTTGGTAATTCAAACAGTTACATCTAATAAATATCTAGGTATTTTATTCCACTTTGATATAACCAGGATTAGCCACGTAGAATACATTACCGCGAAAGCACTACGGAAACTTGGTCTTCTTAAGCGCCGCCTGAAACTTGCAAACAAAGACACCAAACTTCACGCATACAATACTGTTATCCGGCCAACCATAGAATATGCTTCCATAGTATGGCACCCCCCCACAGCAACCCTTACTGATACGCTCGAAACTGTCCAAAACAAAGCCGCGCGATTTATTTTGTCATGTTATTCCCGCTATGAAAGTGTGTCTTTCATCAAGAAAAATCTAACTCTCCCCCTTTTGCCATGTGCAAGAAATATTTCCGCTTATCTTTCTTCCACAAACTATACCACAGTGATTCGCCGTTCCGCCATACGTTCATTCACCCTGCTTTGTACTTTTCCGCACGCGTTTACAATGATCATAAAATTGAACCTATATTTTCTCGCACAGAAAAAAAAAACCCACCAAATCTCACCCCTTGTCTTAGCGACAACCAAGTGGAACGCTCTGCCTGCCATCATTGTAACGCATACACAGCAATCATCTTTCCACTCCGCATTATTTGCGTTCCTTGAATGTGTTGGACAATCTTAGGCATAGCTGTATAACGTGCCAGTGCAGCTTTTTCAATGTGCTCGCTTGTGAAAACCTTGGTGTGTTGTTATTTCTTGCTTATCTTGGTTGACAGACTGTGTATTCTGCGCATGTTTTCTTGTTTTTTTTCTTCTTTTCTTGTTGAAAAATAGCTGTTGTCACTGATTACTGCATGAAACCCCCCTATGTAATGCCCTGGAGTCCCTAAGATATGATTGATAGATTGATATGTGGGGTTTAACGTCCCAAAACCACTATATGATTATGAGAGACGCCGTAGTGGAGGGCTCCGGAAATTTAGACCACCTGGGGTTCTTTAACGTGCACCGAAATCTGAGCACATGGGCCTACAACATTTCCGCCTCCATCGGAAATGCAGCCGCCGCAGCCGGGATTCGAACCCGCGCCCTGCGGGTCAGCAGCCGAGTACCTTAGCCACTAGACCACCGCGGCGGGGCGAGTCCCTAAGGTATAAAAATACATAAATAAATAAATAAATAAATAAATAAATAAATAAATAAATAAATAAAAATATAGGATTTCTCAAGGCTATCATTCATGAAATATTAGGTTTTCATGGAGCACATTTTCCTTTGTTTGCAGATGAGTTTCGAGGCCAGGTGCTCCCCGAAGGCTGCAAGCAGCAGGAGGAATGCTACGAGACAGCAACTGAAGAGATCTTCCAGGTTGTTGAGAAGCATGACCACATTCTTCCACTCTGCGAGTGAGAAAACTTTACAATTCATACATAAAGTTTGCTACTAAGACACAAAAAGATTTCTTCAAATTTTGCTATTGATATGAAATGCTGTATGATATAGTACATTGAGTACTATATAGCTGTTTAACGGTAAAACACCATGAGTAGAAGAATGCTTACGTATGCCAAACGAAAAAGAAATGTAGGTGGGCCCCGCCACGGTGGTCAAGTGGCTAAGGTACTCGGCTGCTGACCCGCAGGTCGCGGGATCGTATCCCGGTTGTGGCGGCTGCATTTCCGATGGAGGCGGAAATGCTGTAGGCCCGTGTACTCAGATTTGGGTGCACGTTAAAGAACCCCAGGTGGTCGAAATTTCCGGAGCCCTCCACTACGGCGTCTCTCATAATCATATGGTGGTTTTGAAACGTTAAGCTCCCCAAATCAATCAATCAAATCAGAAATGTAAACGGTAATTAAAATTAGATCTCAGTAATTCACCTGCTAGGAGGACGCCAAAGCCACAATGCCACCTTTTGAAGAAAGGTTCGAGATTGTTAACAAACTTGGCAAACTTGTCCCGCTCTATGAGCGATAGAACCGTACGATTATTACGTGTTTGTTGCTACTAAAAAAAGAAAGTTTCTTTATATTATCTACTGATATCAAATGCTTGCTATGATCCCCTAGCGTTAAGGCTATGGGACGCTAAAGTAACACGAGGCACTGACAGTAATTAACAGAGAAACTCGAAAGAGGGGGAGAATAAATTGAAACTATATTTTAGAAATGTATAAGCTAAAACGAAGAGAAAATGACCAGGCAACAGCTAGGGAGTCATTCAAGGTTGTTATGAAACTCGACCTACACCTCCATGAGTGAAAGACATACTTCTGACGTTGTTGTTAGTACTCAGAAACATTAAAATTCTAGTTTGCTAAGGCACAAAGGCCTGCTTGCATTTGGTAATATGAGGACTTGTTAACGGTGAAACGTCCTGACGGAATGAACTCTGACGTTAGAGAAAGAGCAATGTAGGCTGTAAATACAAGTTACGTTTTAGTAATGTACGCGCTAAAAAGACGATAAAATCCCGACGCAGCAACAGAAAAGATCAACGAAGCTCTTAACTCCATCAACTTGTCAAGCTTTACGAGTGAGAGACTATTACAATTCTTGCTCTATTATTTGCACTAAGAAGCATACTTTCTTTGTATTTTGCTATAAATATCAAATACCTGCTTGCCTTCGATAGTATTTTGAAATTCCATGCATCATCATTATACATCATGGGGAATAAAATCCGACGTAAGGCAGATTGGGATGGAAAGTCAGGGGTAAATTGAAATTAGAATTTAGTAGTGTACATGTAATCATCATCATCATCTTCATCATCATCATCATCATCATCATCATCATCATCATCATCATCATCATCATCATCATCATCATTTATTTTCTCTTAAGGGCCCTTGATAGGGTATTACATAAGGGGGGGGTCGAACAAGGATACACAAAGCCAATAGGTGACCAGTAATATGGACAGTCGCAGGGAACTGTGGTATGCGACAGCTTCCGGCTCGACGCACCACGCGGGTTAGCAGCGGCACGCGCGAATTTTTCTACCCCTCCGTTGAAGAAAGCATCTTTCCGCGCAATGTCAGTGCTTTAGCAGTTGGCTTTTTGGTTGTGCTAACTATGACTGCAACGATGAGAATGTAAGCCATGAACGGTAAGAAAACTTTTTTACCGCACTAAAATGACCTGCAACGCTTTTATGCTGCTCGGGGTACTGTCAGTTTAGCTAGCAGATCACTCGATACAGAAGACAGTTCATTGCGTGATACGTTACTGCAGATAAAAATCACCATTTTAAAGATATCAAGGGATGGGGATGACTGCAGCAGTCCGCTAAGAGTTCACTCCGAGATCGCTGCGTCGGCCGACATCGTCGGTCGATCGGCATGAAGCGCCGCACTTATTGAGCGCGTTGAGAAATATTTTTTTTAAGCTTTCAGCGCGTTATAAGATGCATTTATTAGTCGAAGCTAGATGGCTATTGTAACGCTGATCTTGATCAAGCTGCGAGGCACAGTGGCACATAAAAAATGCAGTGAGACATAGATGGTGTCGAATAATCGAAACCCGAAGCCCTGCGCTTGTTTAGCGCAGTTATTCATTTGTGTGCCGTCTCTGCGCACAGTTTAACCAAGATAAACGCAAATGGACTCGTCCAGCGCTTCTTGTCAACTTACTCTTGAGTAAAGCTTTCGCATTTTTGTCATATGCTTTATGGAAGGAATGGCTGGCGCTCATCTTAGTAGATTTCACCCGCATGTTGCCATATTTTTGCTAGGCGCGCCGGCGCAACAATTTATTTCTCCGTATAAAATTCGCAACAAATTGATGCGTAAGCTTTTTATTAGTGCAGAATACACATGTATATGTGATAAAATGGTCTTAGCACATTCTCGCTTCAACTTTCGGTACCCAAAGTCTACCTGTCGCTGGGGCTCTCGTCACAGCTGCGACCCACCTTGTTTTTCTTTCTTCGTTTTAAGGGAATCGATACATGCGTTTGCCTTTCAGGCTCGAGTTGGAGCAGCCAACGGCTAAACAACCAGCCATGATTTATTAAGGCGAAGATAAACGGGCGACCGTGCGCGCGAATGCCGAATAATCTGAGGCTTGAGGTGAAGCGGTTCGCCGTCGTCTGCTCTTCTCGAATCTGAAGACGGCAGCAGACGATGCGGCCCACAATCCCTCGCTCTTTTACTGGTCACTTATTACAAACCAAGAACATATAGTGGGATGCATTTCAAGAATTGGAATTACAGGGCAACAATAATAACAGAACTTGTTATGCAACTAATAGCATGAAGTGTAATAAATGTGAGAGAAAGGCACACACGAAAATTATGACGGTGTGGTTGTAAAATGAGTTTCAAGTAAGGTTTTGAAGTTCAGAGTATTACGTTCGTTGGCTACTGCATTTGGAAGCCAATTCTGATCCTCAATTGTTAACGGGAGAAAAAATTTGTTAAAAGCATTGGTTGAACCTTTTAAATTTTGGACACTCATAGAGTTGAAGAGAAGGCGCGAAGTTTGAATTGGTAAAACAGATGTCCAAATGACGGTGCAGTCGCTGCAGCAGTTTACAAGTTTGCTGGCAAGACCGACAAATAAGTTCCCTTTTGTTAGTCTTTTACGGTCATTATGCAGTGGCTCCTTCGGATGAGCTCGTTTTACATCATTGCTCGGTGAGCTCAGTCTCCGGAAACGTCTTGCTCTTGCCTTCTGTTCATTGAGCATGTGATGAGAAGTTGTCATGTGCGCTGTTTAAACGCTTTTTTGGCCAAGTTGCATAGATCGATAGTTCTTTAGGTGAACGTGTAAAGAATAGAACCAGGTATAAAACTTCGCCCGTCTGTATGTCTCATTTTTGTTGCCATGTGCTTCAAGATAAATGCGTTCTAACTAGGATTACTCCCAGTTTCGCATACGGCAGGGCAAGCCAAGGCACACTAGATAGTGACGTTACGACCACTATCTCCGCGGGCGGCTGAAATCAGCCAGCGCGGGGGGCAACGTGCGTCCTTTTTGGCAGCCAAGATACCTAACAAAAATCGAGACTTTTCATGCATAATAAAGAGTTTTGTTTTCAATAAAGCACAGCCTGACTCCGTGTGTTGCTGCTCGAGCACAAGAATCAAAGCAGACCCGATCATTCTCTTCTTCATCATATATTTTTCCCACAATGACCTGGTCAGTGTTAAGGACACAGATGTAAAACACCGAGCGCTTTCCTTGTTAGAAGGAAAATGAATCTGCAACGTTTGGCAGCCAGCGTAAAGAGGGCGAAAAACCTGGAGTTAGAAGTTTTCTTTGCGGTGAAATCGCACAAGGAAGACATGCCTTTCCGGGATATAGTCTCGGAAAAAGGTAGCTGGCAGTTATATGTTTCGCGTTTTCTGCAAAAGAACCTAGCACGCCTGAATATTGTTGACCCTTTCCGCATACCGAATTCGAATTCTGTGTGCGAGTACCTCAAATATGATGAGACTACGTAGCGATGAGACTACGTAGCGCCATCAGTGTCGACGTGGAAAATTTATATTATTCCGTTCCGCATTGCCAGGTTATGAAATGCGTAAAAGTCTGCATAGTGTTTGACAACGAAGAATCTTTCATCGATGGTTGCGGTATTTCTTTAGAATCACTTCTTGAACTTTTGTCATTTTACCTTGAAAGTACCTTTGTGTCATGGCGGAGGGATCTTTATGTACAAAAGTCTGGTGTCTGCATAGGCTCGAGCGTGGCCCCTATTATTAGTGACATTATTTTAGGCTACATTGACAGGCAGCTAGAAGGCCACCTTAGTAAGTGCTGCAGTGATGTTTTTCGTTACGTCGACGATTTTGTATTTTTTTCCCACAATGACATTCACCATAAGGACATTGATCACATTTTCAAGTTGTTCAGTCAGCACGGTATAGGCCTCACCTTCACTCACGAAGTCTGTAAGAATTACGAGCTACAGTTTCTTGACCTAAAGCTAACCTTTGGTAAAAATAATTTTTGTTGGAAATATGACCCAAGATCAGTGAAGCTTATCTTGAACTACGAGTTTGGCTATTCTAAGATAGTGAAGAGAGTGATTGCAAAGACAATCTTGAATGCGTCGCTCAGGAAATCCTGTGTGCATGTGTCGAATATTGCTTTTCATAACCAGGTAAAACGCTTAGTAGATGCTGGGTATCCTGACAAGGTTATTTCGTCTGTGTGTGAGTCGATGGTTCGGAGCGTTAAGCTCGTGAAGCACAGAGGCGCCCAAGAAAATTCCGATGGAAAAAGAAAAAGAGCAGTTTTTCCTTATGTACACAAATTGGCGCATGGGCTGAAAAACGTAGGCTCAAGGTATGGTGTCGGCGTTCTTTTTTCCGTCAAACATAAGGGAGGTAGCATTTAGCCCGATGGTTGATAACGCGCTGATGGACAAATAAGTCAAAAGGAGATGCACTGTGAAT